TTGGGGAAGTGGAGAGTTTGTTTGCTTGTTATTGTAGTAGTGTGAGGCTGTGATGGTCTGAAGACAATGTACTTGTTTCATGGTTGTGGTAGTTTAGAAATGAGATGGTGACATAGGGGAACAAAGAAAGAAAGGTGCCAATGATGATGTCCAGCAGAAATCTCTTTATAATCACTGAACAAGGCATTATTTTTCTGGTCTTTAGTTCTAAGTTTTTGTTGGGTTTTGATCCCCAATGAATCTCGGATTATGATGTAAACGTTGGATTAAATTATTATCTACAACCAAGTTCAAAGACTCGTCCCGAAAACAACATGGATCGTTGGAAGTAGCTTAAAGAATTAATGTTCCTCACGACCCATATATATTACCTCATGGATAACTTTGAATCTTGGTCTATTTAACCTTTTATTAATCCAACTAAAGCCTAACCTAACTTATATATACGGTGTCTTTATCCTAGTTGCAAAATGTGTGATTTGTGTTGTGAATTGAGAGAAAATGTGGCTACCTTCTTGCTGGAAAAACGTATGTCTCAGTGGAGAAAAAAATCGGTGGCTTTCTTTGTGTATTTGGCCTCCTCTATGTCTTCTTCCATTGTTTTTCTCGTGTCTTTGTGGGTGAGATTGAGGAGCAACTGAGATGAATATATTTGTTGTGGGTTGGGGCAGTTTGAATTGGTTGTTTGGTAGAGAAATGTAAAGTGAAATTGAGCTCGAAAAACATTGTTTTAATGATCCTTGGAGACTTTAGGACGAATAATGATGGTCCTAAAGTGGTAAATTCGCATCTCTCGATATTTACGAATTTACAGACGTGGTCCGCTCGGTATTGTGTTCTTTCCCTTTTATTATTGCAGTTATATTTATTGTGTAGGATAACAATTTATTTTCATAGTGTGGGATGACGTTAGGTTTGAGTTACCGTGAAGGGTAATCATTGCCTGTTGTTAGATCTAAAAATTACTTGATAATTATTTGCCTTAAATTTTTCGTGAATTT